GTTAGTAGGAAATGCCAGCAAATATTTGTATTTGCAGTAGATGTAATAAAGTTATTCGTAGTTATCTACAGGATTGTTTAGATGTAGGCGAGATGGCCGTTGTTTTTGTCTGCAAATAGTTTTGATTCTTATACTGCTGTTTTCAATAATGTTATCCCCCCCATCCTCCTCCATTTCTAAGAAAATGCACTTCTTGCGGTGTTGCACTTTTCTACAAGTGATAAGGTACTTCGACTAGTCGCTTCAACACTGTTATTGAATTTCGCTCATCTGGTGACCAAGAGCAGGTGCAGGGCCGGCATTTTATTATCATCGCTTGCAGCTTTCTGATATCTAATCTTTTAACAAGGCTCAAGTTTCATAGGCATGTGAAGAAACTGATACGGCTTACCAATTTTGGTAACGAAACGCTGTGAGTATTCAATAAAACGTTTCCGTTCTAAGTTTTACATTTCGCTTTCCTAACCATGCATAATAGAACAGCCCTTTAATGGTTACTGGCACAGAATCAAAATCTCTATCAAGAAAATCCATGCAGCCTATTGCCATGCGGTAAGAGGCATTGATAACATGTACTGAGAGATTCATATTCACCTGAGCAAATTCTGATATGCAAACTAGCTGAAATCACGTTTGTTATCTATTCATTATGACTCTCAACGTGCTGACAGTTTATTTTGTTTTTTGAACTATTTTAAGTAAGAATGCAGCACGTAATTTTCAAGGCATGCGTGACTTTTTGCCGTCATACGATAAACAAATTGAATTCTTGAAAAATATGCTAATCTGAATGACGTTATAATCTTCATGGTCATGAACTTTAAGCATTTTCCCCTTTTCTTGTATTCTCACATATTGAAGAAATGCTTTTGCTTATCGTTAACCCATATTTTTTACAGGGGCCGAGGCACTTTTTCAAGGCCTCATTTTTTGCCGTGATTATTTCGGTACAGTAAAGCCATTTGCTTACTCTTTCATATATTTTTTGTCGTGAGAAGTGAATCTGATATGTAATATACTGAAGACAACCCTGGTATATTTGGTTTGCTAACAAATGTGTATTCGATGCCATCTATGAGAATATTAAGCTTCTAGAATTCCAAGGGACCATCTTAATCAGGCCACATCTTGGTGGCACAATAACACATGCAAAATCGTATCACTTCGTTAGAAAGGAAAAGAGGAAGGAAAGGTGGTACCGTTGGAATGTGGTCTTCCTTACACATTAATCACGAAATCGTTTCTGACGCTTTTCTTTTCATGACGTTAATGGTGAAACTGATTTCCATTTCCATGCCATCCATAAAGGCAAAATCGACTAACGTTCTGTGGCAAGCGTAATGCGCTTTCCCACAGAATGATGCTCATTTGTCAACCTCATAAGGAAGAATGCGAGTGACCCAGTCAGGATTCGAACCTGAAACCTCATGGTTCTGAATCCGACGCTCTACTGATTGAGCGATCCTTGTCGGCGCCTTTGACCGAACATTAAGTAAAACACCATGGTTTCGATACTAATTTTTAATGTGTTAATATTTTCGTTTTGTAAAGACCAAAACAATTGCTCTTTCAGAGGTTTCAAAAGCTTTCGAAATCTGTGAGGGTTTAAAAGAAAAAACAGCAGGAAATTCAACACGGGCAGTGGGAAACAAGAAATTTATTTAAAATGACCTTCATCTTGTTTCAGTAGCATTCTTAGCACCCTAAGGAACGAAGGTTCATTTTAATTTTTGATTATCTGGTTGAGGTTTACCTTGAAATTCAGAGTGCAACTTACTCCCAAACAAGCCGCCCCTGTTTCCGAGTAGAAAGAAAATTCAAAATCAGTTGGCACGTCAGCCATGCATTACAGAAGTTCTGCTGTAAAGAAAGGAACCGTGAAAAGTCACTGATCCGATGGAGGGGAGGAGATCGGTAATATTTTTTGTCCGTTCTTAACGCGTCATTATTTTAAGTATATACATTTGTTTACAATTGCATGTTTTCGCCATGTTTATTTATTTAGATATGACAGCATAAAATTTTTTGATGCCGAGTCGGTCCCCTACTCGTTCGCGGTCGAGATCTCGTGGTATTGTTACTGTTTGTCTATTCCTTTGCTTGTCGCCACATCACTGCTTGTAGATCGTCATCGGTCCAGGTCCGGTTCTCATACTCGAGATCGTAGGCGTCGGTCCCGCAGTTTACGCCGGAGGTATGTGAAAAGGACACTGTTGCCTAATTCATGTATTGACATCGTTTTCTCTTAGATCTCGTTCGCGGTCACCGCATAGAATCAAATCCAGGCGTTCCAGGTAAATATCCTATTTTTAAGTAGTAGGAGTGACTCTCAGTTTTCTCAATCACAGAATAGTTTCCGGATGATATGTTTTACGGAAGAGCGAAAGCTCATGTTAAAAAATTCCTATTAAGAGCCAGGTTGCGTTTCACCGAAATGTTGCCTCATGAACTGCGGTTTAGTACATATTGCTTCACTGTTTTTGATTCAGTGATTCAGTTCAGGTGAGCTGCTTCGTCAATGAATTCTGTAATCTTTTGCATCCAAGACCTTTAGAAAGAGGCGCCATTGGAAATATTTCAACTGTTCTGTGATTTTTATGAGAAATGGTCTGGGTTTGCTGCATCGCTGCTTGGTCAGAATG